AAAAAAGAAGAAAAGAAAAAAGAAGAAAAGAAAAAAAGAAAGAAACCAAAGATAAAAGGAAGAAGAGAGAAAAGCAAGCTCAATGTACACACTAAAGAAGCCACGTCATGAACTCAAAGCATCATTTGCAAGTGAATAAAGAACTTTGTTATTTTATGTCTCAGGCCTGAATCTGAAGGACCAGGCATTTTAAGTGTTTGTAAAAAAAACTTCCCCAGAAGAGTGCACTGAAGTAGACAAGGCAATTTCTTCCCTTCCAAGAACAGAATTTTTATAGAGAAAAAAAAATACTTGAGAAATATTTCTTTAGTAGGGAAAAGAATGGAACATTCTGTAACAGAATATCTTACCCTTGTGCTTTGTATTTCTGGTTGAGAAGTTAGATTCATTAAAGAAATGATGTATGAGCACCTCCCAGGTGCAAGGTATTTTGCAAGGCACTGAAAATAGCTGAGCTGGATCTGATTTCAGGTCTTTCTATTTCAGATATTACAATTTGTTTTCCTGTGGAACATCAAGACAAAATAATAAATTATAGGTCCCCTGTTGGATTTAACTTGTATCTAACACTTCTAAACATCACTTGAGTGCTTCCTTATCTTGCTGTGTAAGAACTCTTCAATATTAGGGAAACCCATTCTTTCTCCTAAGAAAATTAAAATTCATTGAGGAAGCAGACCAAACATGACATATACATGTACTATATATGTTTTTTGGACCTCAATAATTTAGAATTGCTGGAAATAGGCTGGGTCAAAGTTGGACTTTATTTCATCTTTGATATTTACTAAATAAATATCAACAAGACTTTAGAAAGAAAAAGCTTCACATTTCTTAAAAGAAAAAAATATTTCCTTTCAAAGTGTGAGTCACATTTTTCAAGCAAATTATTTATATTAAGTATGCACTGTTCTATTTGTAAAAGAGGAGCATGATAAATCTCAAGAACCCTTTATAAAGCACTGGTGTGATGCTGTTCTTTTTCATTTGAAAAAGTAATGTTTTTGTTTTAAAAATATTTTTAATTTACAACTTATATGCATAGTCTTCTTAGTTTATTTTTTTGAGGTTTTATTGTGGATCCAAATAACAAGAACATGTAAATTTATGTACAATCAATTCTAAGCACTCAAGGGGTTGCTGGGCGACTGCAGTTAATGGAGGAGAGATGATTGCAGGATAATATTTAAGTTCTGAGCAGAAATATGAACAGTGTCTGCTTTATAAATTATGTCGGGCTCTGGAGGAATGCTCATCCGTTAAGCCTGGCATTATGCCAAAGGCAGCATACACAGAACTTTCTTCTTTATGAGAAACTATTTCTTGGGGGTAAATTGTAATTGTTCTACATGTGTTTTAAATGTGGGCCTGGGGCCTGAAGGCATAGGCCCCAGACCATTCTGAAGTACTCAGATAAACAATTAATTTTGCAAATTACAAATGTGCTCCATTTGGCTTTCCAAAGCTACAGCTCGGAGACCAACTGTGCCCTGCCTAATTTGGAAATATTTTCTTTCTGCTTTTTATTTTGACATGTACTCTGCTATCTACTTCCGTTGCTATTTCTAGCATCCCACGAGAGCTGCTTCCACGGTTGTCATAGTGCAGAGAAACACACAAGAAAACCAAGAACTTGGTGCTTTCCTAAAGCATTTATTTTTATTTGAAAACATTATACAGGCATTACATTGCCACAGCCAGTCCATAGGGAAGCATGCAAATATCAAAAATGGAGGGTTTGTTCAACTTCTCAGTGTAAATTTCTTTTTTGGTTTATATTTTCCATTTGTGGTGTCAGGATTAGTGTGCTTTGTTATGTGGCTTAACAATAGAATCCTACCCATGGGGTAAAATCTGTACTGGTAGCTAGCTGGGGACTACTAAATGGTTATAAATCAAAAAACAAAACCAAAAAACAAACCCAAAACAAACATTACTACACATTTCTCAAAAGGTTAATAGCACAAGTTAGCAATATCTAAACTAAACATTGAAATATTTTCATGAGACACAGTAGGTGCAAATTATTCTATTGCTTGGTCTACCTGGTTGTGTATTTCAGAGTTTGAAGCCGTGAGGTGACCAAAGCAAGCTCTGTCCCCAGTGCAAGTTTTCATTCAGGAAGTGAGAACCACCACTTATGTTAAGTGGGGTTTAGGAGAGCTGGGGTTTGCTTACCCAATCAAATTCTACACAGAGTGCACAAGTCTCATTCATTGAGGAGGAAGTGGTGGTGGATTTAAAAGCTGAATATTTTGCTGGTGTCTATTGAGTTATGGAATTTCAGAAACTAAAACAGCTAGAGTTAATGTTGACTCACTCCCAATTTCTACTCCATTCCGGAAGGAGCAGTGCTTTCACACAGAAAAAGAATTCGTTTACTTTTTTTTTTTCCAAACGGTTAATCTGGAACTCCTGATCTCAGACAACTGAATATGTTATCAATCCTCCTAGATAGAGACAAATCAACACAATGAGGTACCCCAGTGACATAAAAGTCTTGTGTACAGGGACGTTGGATGATAAAGGGTATACAATGAATTGATCTTAACATTCACACTTGGTTTCCATACAATGGAGTCAATTGAAACATCCTAGAAAATAATTCAGATGGTAACTGGTAGCCATCTGTTGATTGCAAACCATTTTGAAATTAATTTTTTTTTTTTAAAATCCCAGTCCACTGAGTGAACTTGGAAATACTTTCATCTATATGTTTCTCATAAGACTTTACTAAGCATCTACAAATTAGTGTCATAAAAATGAATAAAAAAAGACTAAAACATTTGGCTTAAAATAAATACTAAAAATGCAATAAATCAAGCAAAATTATGAAAACCAAAGGAATGTAAACACAAAAGTAAAACCACAGTCTTTAAAGGTCTTTTAGATCTTAATGGACCAAATATTCAGAGAAAGGTATTTAATTGGTTTAAAAGGTAGCAGAGAACAGATATTGGCAAAGTTATTTTGACTGGCTACAGCTTTAGCCTTTTTTTTTTTTTTTTTTTAATAAATAGAAAATGAAATATATTTCTAAGGGGGCTGAACTGAGATGACCATGAAATGATGGTATATCAGATAAGACAATTTCTCTTCTTTCTGGTCTTTAAGGGCAGAACAACTTGCCTTGTGTAGAAGGCAGGTGGAGAGGCCACACAAGTGAGGACTGACAGCATAGGATGCTTTTACTGCAGTATTTGGCCGTCACTCCCATTCTGTGAAGGAGCTACAGTGGTGCAATGGCTAAGTCTCAGCTGGTAATCAAAAGGTCAGCAGTTAGAACCACCAGTCACTCTGTGGGAGAAAAGTTCTGGCAATCTGCTCCTGTAAAGATTCTGTCCTAAAGGATCACTATGAGTCAAAATCAACTCTACGGAAATGAGTTTGATGTGGTTTCTAGGTCTCTGGGTAATGCAAATGGGTTTGCTCTTGACTACTAACTGAAAGATTACTATTAGAATGCACACGGTAGAAAGTCCTGGCAATCTGCATCTTTAAACATTACAGCCAAGAAAACTCAATGGAACTCAGTTCTATTCTGTAACATATGGGGTTGCTATGAGTCAAAACTGACTCAATAGCAATAGGTTTGGTTGATTATGGTATTTTTTGATTTTGGACTAGTGGCAAAGCCTTATCAAGACCCTGTAATATTCTCTGTATCCATATGAATGCTGTGTCTTCATATATTTTGCTATTGAATGGATGTCAACTATGACACAAATGCCAGATTTTTAAAAAATCAGTTTGTTTCACAGATTGCTTCATATCAGCACCTTGACTCTGTTAGGAGGTGGCACAACCGAAAATAATCTGAATAAAGGTCATTTTCATGCCAGCGTATTTCAAAAAAGTGTCACACAATTAAGAGATGAAAGGATCAGGTATCTTTTAAATGCTTTAGTTAACTTCCACATATCAGTA